ATTAAATATAAACATGTATTCTCAAAATTATCCAATAAGATTAAATGATAATTTTGACTAATAATTAATGTGAAATTTCATTATACAATAATATTACAAAATAATAATAAATATGATATATTAAATATATTAAATATATTAAATATATTGAATAAATTAGATATAATAGATATTTTAAATATTTTGAATATATTGAATATTTTTGATATTTTTAATAAAAGTATGCGAATTATAAAATTGTAATATTGTGAATAAATTAATTATATTCTTGATAAAGATAAAATTATAGGAAAAAATTCAAATAATATATTGAGCATAATATTCAATGAAATAAAACAATTGAATAAAGGTAAAAAATATCTAAAGATTACTTGTAACAATACAGGTAAGCAGAATAAAAATAATATTACTATTTGATTTTATTTATATTTAGTAATTTGTGATTATTATAAAAGTATTGAACTGAATTTTATGATACTTGAACATATTAAATTCAAATGTGATAGTAGTTTTGGATTAATTAAAAAATTTTATAAAAAATAACAATAGACCATATAGATTACATTTTTGAGCTTGTGAAAAAATCAAGTACTATTAAATTAAATAAAGCTTAATATTATAATAATAAAAAAGAATTTTAATACTTAGATCTCAATTTAGTATTAGAAATTTTCTTTAAAAAATTGAGTGATTTGCAAAAATATTAGCATTTTCTTTTTGAAATAATCAATTCTGAAGTTGTTAAAGTTTAATTAATTGCAAATAGTACTTATATAGAATTTAATTTATTGAAAATAGAAAAGCAAGTATTTTTGAATTTACCAAAAAAATTAAATTTTAATATTAATCTCTCTATCATTGAATTATAAAAGACAAGAATATTTTTATCATAATATTTATTAATTTATCAGAGATAAATTTAAAGATATTACTTATTTCAAGCTATTACAAAATAATTTTGAATAAAATTATAACTAAGAATTTGTTATAGTTGTAAAAATTTAATATTATAATAAAAAATTGTATGACTTATATTAAACAATATTGACCTAATAAAAAAGAGTAGCTTAAAAGTCTGATTTTTAATCATAAATCTATATTGATTTTAGTTAAGTCCTGTTTTAATTTCAAAGCTTATATTGTAATTGTGATCAAAAGATATATAAAGAATTTATGAGTCTTAATTAATCAAGAATGAACTGATATTCTATCTGTGCTAAAAAAAAGTATTGCTAAAATTAAAAAAGTATACAACTTAATTAGCTATCATTTTAGTATTTCAGTAAGAAAATTGAAGTTACAAAATTACTATTTTATTTTTATATAAGAGTAGTTTTCAAGTATGATATAATAGATAAAGGAATTACTAGAGTTAAAAAGTATTACAAACCAACTACTTCTGAACAAGAGAAAGAAATTAATAAAGCTCTTTTTTCAAACAAGAACAATATTATCACTGAATGAAGCAAAATAATTGCTAAATTATATAATAATAAATTTTTTGATTATGCAATCATTTTTACTAAAGTATAATTATTTCCTAATATCAATAGTATAAATCAAGAAATATAAAACTAAAATAAATTGTCATAACTTTACTATTGGTTATAATTTAGGACAAGTAAATAAGCTTGTAAAAAAAGAAAAAGAAGAATCTTTATCAAATAAAGAATATAATATATGTTTTACCTTTTTTTCTAATTATAAAATAAAAAGATTTTGACTTTCTGATAAAGATAGACCTGTTCGAATAACCAGCCAATTGGTACTATGAAAAATGAACAAATAGTAAAAAAATTCAATAATTCTAAAGAATATGTCAAAGTCTGGAATAAACAAAATAAGAATCAAGAATTAATTCAGATAAAAGAAAAGTTAGCCCAAGCTGAATAACAGTTCAACCAAACTCAGCAACAATAAAAGAAACATAAAATAAAAAAATCAAAGTTTAAAATACTTATTTTGATAATGTTAATTATTTAAGTGTTTTTTCTTTTTAGCATTCAAAATACTAAAATTATAATTTCTAATATTATAAAGATTGCTGGAATTAATCATAAAAAAGATATTTTAGCTAAATTATTTTCTTTTTCTTTTTCTTTTTCTTAGTTTTCATTTCTTTTTTGATTCATTATGTATTAATATTAATGTTTGTTTATTAATTATAATTTTTCTTTTTTCTTGATAAATTTCATAAATAATTTTTTCTTTATCTAAATATTTCTGGAGAGCTTGGATATTATTGATTTTAAAAATATAAGGAATAATTTTTTCTTCTTGAGCTTTTTTTAAAATGCTTCTAATAGTACTATAATTTTTTGATTTCATAATGAATTTAATATAAATTAGTTTCATATTTATATTTTTTATATAGAAATAAATCTATATGAAATATAGTCCTAATTATAATGATAACTGCAAGTAAAAGTTTATCTCAACAAGTTTACAATTTGATATTATATTAAATGATAACTGAATTATTCATGAATTCAGATACAGGTCACAGTTGTGCTACTAATTCTAAATCAAAGCTAAAAAAATCAGCCACACTAGCAATTTTTAACTCACATAATCAAATGTTCACTTTGTCTGGTTTTGTTGCAGCATGCCCCTTGATCTCAAATCTAATCCTAACCCTGATACTTGATATCTAATATTAATCGGATATTTTAATGGAGCTATTTCAGATTACATAATCCGATCAACTTGCAACATGACGCACAACAAATTTTATTACGCGTTCTTCAAACTTATGCATTCTCTTATATATTATAGCTTATTATAAAATAATAATAATTATTTAAGTTTTAAAAAAAAATAAGTTAAATTAGATGTTATTAAAATTTCAATCTTATTAGAATTCAATATTATATATGAACTTTTTGAAATGTAATTTTTACATGTTTTGATATTATTTTTTAAAAAAAATTAAGTTTAATTGAATTTAGTCATTATTAACTTGGTAAGAACTTATTATTTGGTATTTTCAAGAGATTTGATATTAATATTGTATTTCAAAACTCAATTATCAAAATGTGTGCAACCGGTCCAAGGATTGTTCTGTGGAATAAGATTAGTGTTTATCGAATTACTGTACAAAAAGATCTGGAATAATTCAACTATTTTTTTTATTAGACAATTAAATAATTTCTTTATTCGCAAATTTACGTTAATAATTAATAAGAAAATTTCCAAATTGTCTATTACAAAATAAAATTTAAATTATACTCAAATTATTTAATAATTATTTACTATTACTATTATTAGCATTATCATTATATATATATACTGTCTAAATTAGCAAATATTGCTCAACTAAATACCATCTTGTAAATAATTTTCCTTGTGTCTCATAATTTCACCATTCATCATCATATACCCATCAAAACCACAATATGTAAGAAATTATCAGGATAACAAAGATTCTGTGACGCCCATACAATAGGCATTTCTAATTGTGGAATCACACCATGAATTACCGGCGCGGCTGTGGAATTGTTCTCACCTGCTACCGGTGATGGAAACAGGTCGGGAAGTATTTGGTGTAGAACGTCACCCAAGGTAAGTTGGTTTCCTATAATAATCATAACAGCATTATTAATAAATAGTTTTCTGTTTGATTTCAATTTTTTTTCTCGCACAATAAAAACTTTTATCATTAAATAGATACCATTTTCATCTACCGGCGTGACCGGTTCTTGTATTACCGGACAATTTTCCGGTAAATAAATTCGCAATGGAATATGCCGTGGCATTTGTCCATCGTTAATAACTAATCGATAATTTACACTCCAGAATCGCTCATAGTTTTCCGTACGGTATATTTGGTTGCAATTAATTAAATTGTTAAGGCATTTATGTAATATGCATACGAAACTTGTAAACAGAACAATGAATACTAAAGGATAATTTTACGATTATACTATAGAAGAAAATCGAAAACAAAATATAAGAGGTAAAAAAATTATAGTAAAGGATACTAGACCATAACCCATCCCATAATTGTGTTTGATCATTTTTTGATAAATTCATCACTTTTTTTGTGCTTCCGTTTCTCAAAAAATCAGCCTGAATATAATAATAATAATTATGAATTTATTATATAATTATAACAAATTATAATTATATGATGAAAATATATAATATAAAATACCTCTTTAATCATGGACATAAAAAAATCCTGTGTTGCATCTATTTCTTGTGCTCGAATTAATTTGTCTGCTGGAAAATTTTTAAAATGTACTGTTACAGGCCACGGTAATGGCGGCGGGCTATTTGAGTCTGGTCGATATCCGGTATGCAAATCGAATAATAATCCAATTGGGTAATGCCTGATAATCATCAAATTTCAAGATATTAATAACATTACAGAAGTATTCAATCGATTTTAAAGCAAGTATCAAAATAAGAAATAGGAAATGCATTAATAAATCCACTCACCACTTTAATGGAGTCCCATCTACATCATACCATATCTCTGCATCATCACCAATAAAATTAAGTGCCATATCAACAAAATATTTTCTTATCTGACTAGTTAATAAAGGAAAGTAAGAACAACGTGGAGCTTCTGCCTGTCACGTTTAGTTTACCGGATTCAATAAAGAGACCCAGAGACAATTAAAAAAGTACTCTTCGTATGTACACATTTGTAATCTGTTAATCAAATGCAAATTCATTGACAAGTAGACACCACCAGCACCTCCTCTACTACCACGAACTAAGATAAATTTTCAAAGAGTAGAAAACAGTACATACAAAATAAGGCTCTATAATAGTTTTTGCGCCTAACGCAGCAGCTTCTGTTGCATCGAGTGAAAACTTTATTGGCAATGTGCCATCCCAGATGGCTCTAGTTATGGGATTTTGCGGTGCCGTCGTCATGTTCTGTTCTTTTGTCTTTTGATTTACTTGTTCTAAAGTCTAGAGACGATTGGCGAAATGTATAATAGAATCCTGGGAGTAAATATCAAACAAGTAAATATATTGAGAAGAGTGGAATAATGTGTTTAGAGAACTTCTATATAATTTAGTTTATACTGATCAACTATTATTTCTTTCGGACCCTTATGTATTACAACAGCATTTTCTCATCATTTTCTCATTTGAACCTTACAAAACTTGTATATATAATCTAGCAATGTCCACTTTCTATAAAACTGAATTGTGCCGAAATTGGCAGCAAAAAGGAACATGCCCGTATGTATTTAGAATGAATTACAGATATATCTCCATTTCTCTCGCGTTTCTAGTGTATAAATTCTTGATGCTTTCTATATACCTTTAATTCAACTTGAAGAGTGACATATTATTAGATTTATAGATTCATAGATTTGCTTTTTTTGCCTTTTCACTTTTGGATAAACAGATATGGGACGAAATGCCAGTTTGCACACGGTGATATCGAATTACAGAAAGTAAAACCGTTTTACTATCCGCCGCCGCCACCGCCACCTCTACCAATGAATAAATTTAATGTCAGATATGAAAAATCAGCACTTTATAAGACGGAAATCTGTCGTAATTGGCAAGAGACAGGGACATGCCGGTAGGTTTTTAATACATTTTTTGCATAATTTATTTTTTTTAATTTATATTTTTACAATTTTGTATTTTTGCAAAGTTCTTATTATTATGCTTTCTATATTAGATAATAATAACATAAGCAAATGCATAACAGTTACATAGTTCGTAGTGACTTGTTTATGAGTAAAAATACGTTCATTAATTTCTCAATTCCTTAAATTAGATATGGAAGTATATGCCAATTTGCACACGGCGAAAATGAATTACAAAGATTCAAACCGTATTTTATCCATAAAATAAATAATCTCCAGGTTGAGAAATCAGCGCTCTATAAGACGGAAATTTGTCGTAATTGGAAAGAAAAGGGGACATGCCGGTATCTATTTCACATTTACATATATAATATATAAAATTATTTAATTAGTATGTTATTATGGTCAAAGATCGTAGAATAAATTCACAAATTTTTTTTTGTTTCAGATATGGTACTAAATGCCAGTTCGCACACGGCGAAAATGAACTAGTTCAAACCCATTTAGTGCAAAATCAAGTACAAACCCTAGTTAAACATGACAACAATATTCAAACGAACATCCAGGCCAACATGCAGACGACTATGCAGACGACCATGCAGCCGACCATGCAGCCAAACATCCAAACAAACTAATGCTTTGTTATCCATGCTATGAATCAAAACAACATAATTATTTACTACGACCGAGATACATTTATCATATATTATTATCTATCTATATTTCTATCATTAACACAGCAACAGCAACACAACAAATAATAATCGTCATTAATCCTATACATAATACCATATATAATACTATATAAACACATCACCTAATCAACAGTGGTATTGGTGGAAAAAATCAGCAGTATTCAGAGAGATTTGGATTTTAGAAAATTGTATATTGTAGTTATAATCATACACATTCAATTCTATAATTAGTTATTTTTACAATAATCTAATATGAATATATATTTCTTATGAGCTTTTTCGCTCTATTCCAGTACCTTATTCTTATTTGTGTGTACTCGGATTTATAATTTCAAGAAGATCCGAAAGGCAATAATATTTACCATAATATTAACCATAATATTAAATCTTTTTCTTCAATTATTTATTTTCATTTTGAACACATCATATTAACTATGCCTAATGGCATATATTTCAAACTTACTTCCTATTAGACAATACACCTTATCAATGCAGCAAAAGATGAAATAAAGCATAATTTATAGATTTCGTAATTAACAATTAACGTGGCTTTATAGACATCATTATCGCTACTGCAGCACCAGCTAAATTATTACAATATTAACAGCAGTGTGGTCTAGTAGGTAGGTCTTTGACTATTATGAGTTTATGTGCCAATAAATGATCCTGATGTTGCGAATCAAACGAGGGCATACCCTGCCAAAATTCCTTAGGATGGCCACGTGATGTCGACGATCATCGAAAATTAACGACCTCCTAAAGTGCGGGTCATGTGATATTTTTTGATGATGTCAGCGATGATGACCAAAAAATCGCAACGTGTAACACAAAAATACAGAATAAAAATGTTTCTTGCTAAATAATCTTGATCCAGACCTTTTTCACATTGTTGACAAAGTATCACGTGACCCACACTTTAGGAGATCGTCCTGGTAGTGTCATAGAAATTAAGCAAGAAAGCACCAGAAATCAGCTGATTTCCATTTATTCTCTCCACATAATAGTTATCGATTTGAATTAATAATATTATATAATCAATAACGAACTAACATAACCAATAAAAAACTTAATTTCATGTAGTTATTGCGCATTTTATGTGACATTAACAATGAAAGCAGTTTTTATCAAATAGTAACTCAAATTTTATCTGGTTATATTATTTTTATCCTTTTAATTTAAGTTTTTGATCATGACATTTTGTTAACAGCAATTAGAATTATTTGAATTATTGCTATTCATTTCATTTAGTCAAGAGAAGTTATATGATACTAATTTATTATTAGTTAATAGTAAATAAATATTATTACAAATTATTATTTTTATTTTCTTAGTTTTAGTTTCTGATTGCAACATCTTGTTAACTAGTAATTATAATAATTTGTATTATTATTATTTATTTTATCAAGTCAAAAGAAATTATATATTATTAATTTATTAATTAATAATTAATAATTAATTATTAATTATTAATTATTAATTATTAATAATTATTAATTATTAATAGCAAACAAATATTATTACAAATTATTATTTTTATTTTCTTAATTTTAGTTTTTGATTATAATAACTTTATTATATTTAAAAGAAAAATTTATTTTTTATAATTATAACAATAATAATGATAATAATATTAAATTATTAATTTATTAATCAAATTATTATTATTTATTACATCAAAAAATTTTTATATCTGATTATAATTGATTATTATCCAATAATTAACTATTATCGATTGTTAATAATTGAGTATAATCAATTGTTAATAATTGAGTATAATTATTGATTATAATCAATTGTTAATAATTGATTATAATCGATTGCAATCAGATATAATTAATGATTATTAAAATTGAATATAATTAATTTTTTATTTAGAATCAGTGAATATTTATAATCATTAATTATTAATTTTAATTAATTATTTATAATCAATTACAATCAATTAAAAGTATTTTTAATCAATTATCTATATTGATTATTCTGCTAATTTATCTTTCACAAGCATATATACAATATTAAAAAGCTTTTAAAATTTAATTATTGATATCAATTTAATAAATATTTTATTTTATTAATATTTTATTAATATAATTATAATTAAACAAAAATTAGTGTACAAAAAAATACATTTAGAAGATTTGCTATTTTAATTTAATAATCACCAAATTTATTTTAACTATTTTTTATATTTCTAATAATAATACTGTTACAAGTTCTGAATTCAGGTAGATATCCTCGTAACATGGATGTTCAATCAATATCTCTTATTATTTCTCAGATTTCTATTAACTTTGATCCAGTTGCATTAAGATCAATATATTATGATTCAGAATTATCTCTAATTTCTTAATTTTTAATTTTAATCATGTAATTAAACATAGATTATAAAGATAGTAGAGTTCTCAGATATATCAACATTATCTATTATAGTGTATTTATCTAATATGTATAACATATTTTATATTATAATATTTTTATCATGAAATATTTTATATAATAAAGAATCTTTAAATAAATCAAAAAGCATCAATTGATTAATATAAAATCTAGCTAATCAATAAATTACTTCTTGTTTATTATTTAATGAAATTGTACATTAATTAATTTTATAATTAATATTGTTATAACACTTATTTTTATTATATATTACTGAATGCTCAACCAGGTTGCTATAAAATATTAGTACTATATTACTATAGAACTATTTACACACTAAGTAAATCCTATTCTATCTTAATAAAATAGAAGAAATTATACTGTGCACTGATTCTAATGCAACTGAATTAAAGTTAATATAGCTGAGAAATTATCAGAAATATTGATTAAATATTCACATCATGAGATTATCTACCAGAGCTCAGAACTCATAACAATGATTTTTTCTATTCTATTAAAATAAAATAAAATATTATTACTACTAATAAATATCTTTTTTGTATTTACTTAGTATTGTTATGATATGAATATTTAGTTCTTATTTTATTGGTTAATTCATATCATAAATTTAATTGGATAATATTCTAT